AACATAAGTTAGAGGGTCAAACTGGTTTTCTGATTTGATTTCATTATTTTAGAATTAGAATTATTACAAGGCTGGCCGGGCACGGTGGCTCAAGCCTGTAATCCCAGCACCTTGGGAGGCCGAGGCGGGCGGATCACGAGGTCAGGAGATCGAGACCATCCTGGCTAACACGGTGAAACCCCATCTCTACTAAAAAAATACAAAAAACTAGCCGGGCGTGGTGGCGGCGCCTGTAGTCCCAGCTACTTGGGAGGCTGAGGCAGGAGACTGGCGTGAACCCAGGAGGCAGAGCTTGCAGTGAGCTGAGATCCGGCTACAGCACTCCAGCCTGGGCGACAGAGAGCGAGACTCCGTCTCAAAAAAAAAAAAAAAAAAAAAAGAATTATTACAAGGCTGTATTACTGTCAATTAAAGTTCTGTGATATTTATTTACTTATTTGTTTTTATTTATTATTTTTTTTCTGAGATGGAGTCTCACTCTGTCACCCAGACTGGAGTGCAGTGGTGAGATCTCGGCTCACTGCAATCTCTGCCTGGGTTCAAGTGATTCTCGTGCCTCAGCCTCCTGAGTATCTGGGATTACAGGCACCTGCCATCATGCTCGGCTAATTTTTGTACTTTTAGTAGAGACGGGGTTTCACCATGTTGGTCAGGCTGGTCTCGAACTCCTGACCTCAAGTGATCTGCCCATGCTGGCTTCCCAAAGTGCTGGGATTACAGGCATGAGCCGTCGCAACCGGCCAAAGTTCTGTGATATTTATAATAGAGGCAAGGAATTTCCATAGTTAAATGAAAGACAAGCCAAACAAATCTGCACTCTTTGGAAATTAGTAATTTGGCTTCTTTACATTTGTGCTTATTAAAATTCCCAAAAATAAAACTTTTGCAAGGAAGGAGTTAGCAGTAGTTACTGAATTGTTATTGCATGTCAAATAAAAACTTCTCTACTCATTTTATATAATCATAATGTACATAAATTACATTTGCTTAAGGGCAATATAATAATTGCAGGTTTAAACAGAAGTAGTTCAGTACTGTTGTGTTTGTTATTCTATTTGGATCTCATATGGATTTGTATCAGTCTTAGCCTTTGTAATTCTCTGAAAACCAGTTTTGTGTCTCCCTCTCTTTTTTTTGAGACAGAGTCTCACTTTGCTGCCCAGGCTGGAGTGCAGTGGTGTGATCTCAGTTCATTGCAACCTCCACCTCCCGGTTCAAGCAATTCTCCTGCCTCAGCCTCCCAAGTAGCTGGGATTACAGGCACACACCACCATGCCCGGCTAATTTTTATATTTTTAGTAGAGATGGGGTTTCACCGTGTTGGCCAGGCTGATCAGAAATTCCTGACCTCAGGTGATCCACCTGCCTCGGCCTCCCAAAGTGCTGCGATTACAGGCATGAGCCACCACACCCCACCCTGGTTTTGTATCTATCTCAAAGTGCACTTAAAAAAAAAAAAAAGAGCAACAGTAAAGAAACTATACAATCATAAAAGACAAAACAAATGTATATTTTTTCTCCTTTCACTCTCATAGAGCATGCTTTACACAAAGCTAGATGGTAGAGCCCACTACACAGGTAGTTCATAGCCTATTGCTCTTAGGCTATAAAGCTGTACAGCATATGACTGTACTGAATACTGTAGGCAATTGCAGCACAATGGTAAGTATTTATGTCTCTAAACATATCTAAAATTAGAAAAGGTACAGTAAAATATGGTATTCTAATCTTATGGGACCACTGTCATTGACCAAAACATCATTATGTGGTGTATGACTGTATATTCTATTAGTTCTGTTTCTCTAGAGAACCTAGAAATTGGATGACAGCAGCTGAGTGTTTTGAAATGCCTGGGGTGTGCAAACCATGTATTCAAAGAAAAAAATGTAATCTAAATGGGACCTGCTGGTGGACAGAGGACACTGAAAGTATTGAATCTTTTTTCCTGTGACCCAACTCCTTTCTGTATCTCTCTTGTGGACTGGGCTCCTTCTGAAGGGAGGTGAGTTATTTACTATTGGAAAGACTGGGGCTTCTCTCTTCTCCTCTCATTCATTTATTCTTTTATGGTTTCTAATTATCCAACTCATGAATATGACTTATAAAAATAGATAGGAAATACTGGCAAATGTACAGAAGAAAAAAGCATTGAAATTATCCCAAATTCCACAACTCCAGATATAACAACTGGCTATATGGCTTTATGGTATTTAAACATTGTTAAAGAAATTGTTAAAGAAACATTGTTGAAAAATGTTCTGATACCAGTAAAGCAGTCAGGAAGACTTTATTAAGGACTATTGTGATAGGTGGTATCCAGACTATCACAATGGGGAGAGAGATGGGCTTCAACTCCACGAACAGTAAGAACAAGTGGGGATTTACAGCAAAGCAGCAGGTGAGGGTGGGGTTGGGAGGGGAAGAGTTAGAGGGGTAGGAAGGTGGGATGGTGGGCATTGCTTGGTGGGTGGAAAACTACTAAGAAGAGACATAAAGGGTAGGGAGGATTCTTGCTAAACAGACCTAATAGGATTCATGCTGAAGGCAGGCCAAGATGATCCTATATCACTCAGGGGATAGTGAGGGATGAGGAATTTGATCAGATTTGGAGGGTGATCATATATCAAGATTCGGAAGATCCTGTCTAAACTAGCTGAGCAGGATTCTTGGTGAAACTAGACTAGGCAGACTTGAGGACAAGGCCCATGGAAGAGGCTTAGTTGAAAAGAGGGCTTAGAAGAGCCTGTCTAAAGTTCAGTCAAGGATAGTGTCTTTGTCACCTTTTAAACTTTGTCTATGCAAATTAGGGTGTGTGTGTGTGTGTGTTTGTGTGTGTGTGAGTGTAGGATGGTAGGTCGGCAGGTGTACAACTAGATCAAAAGAGAGATTTAAGAAAAACAAATTGGGGTCCTAGTGTATATTGCTTACTTCTCCTTGGCAACATTTCATTTAGTGTAATCACTTTTGGTTTGAAGACTGCTTGTACGACTATAAAAAGAAATTTACAAATTTGAATTCATCTAAATGAACCTATCCTTTTTTATTCATTTATTATTTATTAAACTATTTAAATATCTTAACTATCAATAAATGATATTTTACATAATAATTTTGAAGACCATTTATTGGCATAGGAAGTTGCTCATGATAGGAACCTAAGAGGGCAGGTATGGAAGAATCAATACAACGATCTTAATTTTTTAAGTTGTGCATTTGTTGTACACACATAAAGAAGAAGAAAATGTACCAATATGATCACACTAATTCTCTCAGGATGGTGAGACTGCTGATGGTTTCTGTTATTCACTTTGAATCCCTCATTTTCCAAATTTTTGAAAGTAAGTTTGTATTATATTTATTATCAGAAAAAGAAAAACGGTTTGCAATTACAGAATAAAAAAAAGAAAACAAAGCAATTTAGGACCTATGACTATGGAACTATGGGACTGAGGCATGTACCTGAATCTTTACTGAAACTTCACATATTATTTGAGTTTTCTGCTTTCAGTGTATTTTAAATGAGATGTGTTTTAATCAAACACACACACACACACACAATAGGAGTGGCTAAACATTGACAGGATATTTACTGAGGAAAACAACATCTATTCTTTATATTCTATTTAAGCTCTTCTGTCCATTCTCTACACAAGACAGGCTCCAGGACCTATCAGTTGTGACTCCCTAACACGAGCCTTTCAGCCTAATAGGAAGAATTTCACCCTGTCCTCTTTCTACTCCCGTTTCTTCTCTTCCCCTCTTCTTTGTCATTATCATCTAGGGGTTTTATTAAGTGGAAATCTGGATCTGCAGAAAGTGGCACAGGCACCACATCTAACATAAGAAAACAACTAATCAACAGTCCCTAGAAACCTGTCATCTAAAAGGGTGGCTCTGAGGTAGAGTGAGAAACACTCAACCAATAATAAATTTATAATTTTATAAAACACACACACACACACACACATCTAAAAACCTGGAAACAAATACACTAAAACCCTAACTGTGAGTATTTATGTGATTGTTACACTAAACTGTTATTTTTAAAAACCCTTTATAGATGTAATACAATAACAAACCCCTTTTAAAAATTGAAATCTTTAAATTATAGGTGATCTATATTGAAATATCACCCCAAAAAACCTGTTTTCCCTAGTATAGGGATTTTTAATGTCACATGGTATTCCCTGCTCTGAATACATCATATTATGTCTTTCATCTATTCTCTAGTGCTGGGTCATCAAATATTTCCAATTTATTCAGAATTTCAAAACAAATGGTTTGCTTTTCAGTAATATCGCTTGACATGTAAGCATCCTTTCCATTTTGCCTCCAAAAGAGCCAGCATTGAGAAAGGGTAATTGGCAATTCAGCAGCAGTGCTCTGGGTCATTGATAACCCAGATGTCATGTGTGAACTTGTCATACATATGACTGTGGGCACTGGTTACCATAGGCCTTCCTTTCCCCCATCCCCATTCCATCTCATCCCCCTGCACACCGGTAAATATTATCAGGGTTGATCCAATCTAAAGCGAGTGCACAACCTTCATAGAGATTTTGAAAAGCCAAAATTAGAAAATAAAAAGTTAATGGGGAGTCACGCCATCTAAAGATATTCACGGCTAATATTTTGATGTTTTTCCCCTTTTCTCTTTTGTTCGTGTATTTAAATATAAGGCTTTGAGTCACGTTTCTGGTCTCTAAAAACACCTCTCGCCTCATTTCTTTGCTCTTCTACATTTAAGTTTTCTCAGGTTTAAAGCAGTTTCTGACCGCTTCTCCCTGACCAGATGATTTTCAGTAAGCCCCTCCCGTATAGAAACTGTGGGAGCTGCTACCGCCAGGAAGGTGAGTGGCACTAGTAATGTGACGGATCTAATCATTCATTGGACGACGGTTTGTCAATCACGGCTACTCAGCAAATAGGGCGAGCTGTTAAGCAAAAAAAGGGTTTAGAGAGTCATTTTCTGCACAATCGGATTGTGGAACCCCCTCCTTTTGCCACGGCAGCTAGTGGGAAAGACCTTTATCCTGCTACTCTTGTCCTCCGCGGCTTGCGCCACCCCAGGCCAGCTTCCATAGCAGCTGCAGCTGCTTCATTCAGCATCCGTCTTAGCCTCCCCAGGTGCCGGCGGCCTGGGCCAAGCCATCGCCTACAGTTCGGTGAGTGCTTCCCTGCCAAAAAGCTAATAATGGAAGGGTTCAGAGAACACAGCACAGCCGGTGAAAAGGGCCCATTACTCGGTGCTGTGGCAGCCACAGCCTCTCCTCAGTCTTTGATGGAGTACTCCCCAGACGTAGATTTTATTGAGAGGCAGCCTCTGGTGGTTAAGTACCGAGTGTACACTCTCAAAAAGCTTCAGACCAAATGTGCCGTCCTAGAGGCCAAGTACCTGAGGGAATTTCATTCCATCGAGAGAAAGTTTGCTGCCATCTATGAACCCTTATTGGAAAAGAGACGGCAGATCACCAATGCACTGTATGAGCCCACGAAAGAGGAGTGTGAGAGATGAAGTTCAAGGTCGCGGACTATGAATATAATGAGGTGGCCGGTGATTCTAATGCTCAGATACATGGTCCAGAGGAGAATCCAGAGTATGAGAACTTGGTGGAGGATTGTGAGGAGGATTTCGAGGATGTCGGGGAGGTGTTTGGGGAGTATAAAGGAATCGAGGGACATAATATGGACGGAGAAAAAGAGAATCCTACAGGGATCCCCGATTTCTGGCTCACGGCTTTAAAGAATGTCCAGGAGGTGGCCCCGCTGATTAAGAAATATGACTAGGCCGGGCGCCGTGGCTCACGCCTGAAATCCCAGCATTTTGGAAAGCCGAGGCGTGCGGATCACAAGGTCAGGAGGTCGAGACTTTCCTGGCTAACACGGTGAAACTCAGTCTTTACTAAAAATACAAAAAAAAAAAGAAAAAAGAAATTAGCCGGGCGTGGTGGCACGCCCCTGTAGTCCCAGCTGCTCAGGAGGCTGAAACAAGAGAATCGCTTGAACCCAGGAGGTGGAGGTTACAGTGAACTGAAATTGCGCCACTACACTCCAGACTGGGCTACAGAGCAATACTCCGAAAAAACGAAACAACAACGACAAAAGTATGACGATCCCATTCTGAAGCTCTTGCGAGACGTGAAAGTCAAGTTTCCAAAATCCAAGGAGCCACTCACTTTTACACTGGGATTTCACTCCGAACCCAACGACTACTTCACAAATGAGGTGCTGATCGAAACATACACCCTCAAGTCTAAGCTCGATTACTGTGACCCCCACCCCTTCAGGGGATCTGCGGTAGAGTATTGCTTTGGCACCATGATAGAATGGAAGAAGGGAAAGAACGTCACTGTGCAAACGGTCCTGAAAGACACAGCTTTGGGGAGCTGATGTGTACCGCAACCCGGGAATTTCCCCAAGAGTCCTTCTTCAATGCTCTCCAGTGGGGCCTAGATGCTAATGAGGATGACCTCATCAGCTCACACCTTGCACACTTTTGTCATCTCAAGAGCTGTGTTATACTTTACAGGAGAAGCCCTTGAGGCAGAGCAAGAGGCTATGATCGGGGAATGTAATAACCCGGTTTATGACAGAATGACTCAGGAGAATTGGGTGACTGCAGTTTACGGTGCTAAAGGCAAAAACCGAAACTCCCAGGCAGAAGTCAACGATTGTTGAAGCAGAATGGTTGGAGTATGTGGGCCCCCAGGTTAACAACCGGCTTTTACAATAACCAAAACTTAATCATTCCTTACTTGCAGTCTTCACGTGACTCTTCTTGGTAGTCTTCAATTTAAAATTATGTCCAAATATATTTAACAATGCATTTCACCTAGCACTCCAGTGGTATAAACTTTGTCAACAATTTTATTAGGCAGTGAATTCTCAAAGTATGTGAAGACTTTACTATTGTGAATCCATTGCTTTTTTTAGGTTGCTATTAGGCTGCAGCTATGAAAAATTACCAGAACTTGTAACTGAGATCTATGTTTGGGATTGTAAAGTGAAGCGAGATAGCATCCTTTTCCTAGCCTTCTCATTGAGGTAAATGGATTTTATTATGCTTGCACTAGCTGTGCCTTCATCTCTTTGTTATAGAAATGCAGCAGATTATATTATTTAAAATACACTTGATTAGTGAAACTGCTAGTATAAGAATAAACATTTATAGCAAATTCACATTTAATGTTAGTTACCTTGTTTGTAGGCTTTTATATTTTATCTTATATAGTGATCTACTCAGAACATAGTTTCTTTATTGCTGTTCAGTGAGGCATGGGTTAAAACCATTTTTCCTAAGGCCTGCCACAGACTGCACCATGTACTGCTGTAAAGTGAAGTTAACGTATGCATTTTTGTTTCTGGAATGTTCTCATCTTTAATGGAAATGGATTTCCTTACGTTATTTTTAAGCTTTATTTCCACATGGTTGTTCATTCCAAAATAAAATTACTACAGATTTTAAATATTGTGTTCCTTCTGAAAGTATTCAAGTGCCAGGTGGAGGATTTCGTTGGGAGGTCTCAGTAAGCCAGACTTATCCATTGGGCATAGTATGCACCATGCCTAAAGCCGGATTTACATTTTACAGCACCCCAATTTTTAAAATTTATTTTAAAATCAGAAGAGAAATGAATATAATGATGTATGTGTAATAGTGAAGCCAGCCTGGATTGTATATGTCTTATACCAATGCAGATGTAAATATTATTTATATATGTATATATGAATGTCATAGTGGAAAGGGCCTAGGAATGTAAAGCTGCATAGATTTTATGAAAATCTTAATGAGGCCCTGGGTCCCACCTTTAGAAAGAGGTGAAAAGGAGGAGTATGGAATGGTTGAGAGCAGTAGTGATGTGACAAAAAAGAGAAGAGGAAGCGGAGGGAGGAAATGAGGGGACCAGCAGAGGTGGGGTTGTTGAGGGAGTGATGAATGTGGATCCTTTAGGGGACAGTGAAACGCCTGAGTGGCCAGAAGGGAGGGGTTAATAGAATGGGTTGCACAGGGAGGGTGGAGACCAGATTCCATTTGGGACCTGGTCTGGGAGAAGCTGGAGTAGGGTCTGCAAGAGAGAAAGAAAAGAAGGGGAGAGTACAGAGGAGTACAGAGGAGAGTATAGAGTATGGAGGGGAGTATAGAGGAGCATATGTGAGAAGTGTACAGAGCAGAGAAGCAGGAGATGAAAGGATGAGCGTTATTAGAGATGGAAGAGCATTCCTTGATTAGAGGCTGTAGAAGTTCTGGTTTTATGGTTTTATATATTTTACAAAATGTATAAAATGTAGACCCAAAGGAGTCTAGAGGAGCATTGACTTATTTTAAGTTACCTTTAATTATGTTCTGTAATCGCCAAAATACATATATAGATGAATTAATTCATTATTTTTTATTCAACAAACAACTTTCTATTGTACTATTTCTATTTGCCATACACTGTTCAGAGCACTTTACAAATATTAACGTCTGTGATACTTGTTTTATAATTGAAGAAGAGGTAGTTTTCTCTTGTTTATAAAAGTAATAAATGCAGGAGGGAAGGCTATAGCAGGACAGAATTAATTATAATACCAACAAATACTCCCATCCCAGACCTTACTTTAACTGCTAACAATTATATAATTTTGAATCCCGCTTAAAAAAATTATCATCATACCATTAGTGTTTTCCTGTATTAATACATTCTAAAAGCATAATCATTAATAATCATGTAGTATTCTAAGGTAGGGGAACACAATTTAACTATTATGTTAATGTTGGTTATTTGATACTAATTTACATAATGAAGTTAGTAAATGTTCTGCCTTTTAATATTAAGACTTTTCGTTTGTGTTTCTTTTTTTACTTTAGCCTCCAAAGCATTTGCAAGCTGTGTAAAGGGCTAAATGGCAAGCCAAAATCAGGATTCATATCATTGATTAGCCAGGTGTTCATTGAGAAATATAGTTATTAAAATGTGACTTGATCATTCTCAAAGATAGTCACAAACCTTGGAGATGGTATTTGCTTACTCAATATGTGTAACTAATCCTTTCCCTTCTTCCAGCACTGAAAATGTATCCTATTTTTCACATATTTTTGCACAGGCAGGAACTTGAGAAATAGAGTCCTCCTGAGCCTTTCTAGGAAAAGCATAAATTTTAGGCCACCAATAAATGAATGGAATCTCTAGTGCAAAAGTGCCAATGGTTAAGTATTAAATCAATGTAACTATAGGACTAAGACTAAAACAAACATATATACTATGGTTAAACAGAAAACAAATATAAATATTATGCTAATGCTTAACATAGGCATAATATAGCTATCGACAATTGGGACTAGAAAGGGGATTTCTTCTTTTATGGCTGGGATGAAAAGATCTGCCAAGTTAAGTAATAGATACATAAGTATATAATAACATTGTAAGAAAAACAATATAGTCGACAAAATTGGATAGTGGTTTTTCCTATCATTACTCATCGTTGCCAGTCAGTGGCTACTTTATAAAGAAATCCGTAATTAAGCGTTCAATAAAATTGTGGTAATAAATGTACCAAGTAGAAAAAAAGATAAACCTTCCAGAATATCAGAAGATTCAAAACTAAACTAAGAAAACACAGGCCATATAGTAAATAAGGAGAAAAAATAATAATAAAAACTGAAAGTCTAACATAGATAAGGTTAAGTGAAATAAGATGTGATATTTGACTATTCCATGTGGCTAGAAAGCACTTCCTTAGATATCCTCATGGATATCTCTTACCTCTTTCAAGCCTTTGCTCAAATGTCACTCTCTCAATAAGGCCAACTCTGACCACGCCATTTTAAATTGTATATGCCTCAAACACATACTCACCCTTTCCCCTTACTCAGCTTAGACTTTCCCTATAGAAAGCCACTGTATGATTTACTTATTGTTCGTGGTGTTGATTGTCTGTCCTTCCACATTGGAATGTAAGCTCTGTGAGTACAGGGATCTTTGTTTATTGATGTTCATTGATCTTTGATCCTTGTTCATTGATGTATCCAAGCATCTATAACAGTGCCTCATACAGGCACTGCTCAATAAATATTTGTTAAATATATTCATCAATACCTATCTTAGTACATGCAAATGGCATAACTCATCTAGGAATTTATCCTTTAAATATACTTGTGCAGAATAACATGCTCAAGGATATTTGTTGTAGCACAGTTATACAAAAATAATGGGAAAAATTCAAGTCCTTTTGTAAGACACTTCATGTAAATTATGGTCCATCTATACGACAGATATTCTTAAACACTATGAGACAGTCATATATATATATATACTGATAAAGAGCACTCGCTAAGATAAAATGTTAAGTGAAAATAGCAAGATACTTAACACTATTAAGCTATCATTTTTTGCAAAATATGAAAGTAATATTAAAGGATTTGATAATGTATTTATTTTGTGCCTTCTGGAAAGATGCATGAGACACTTGTAATGGTGGTTGCCTCTGTAGAAGGGAATGGGGAGATAAGGGTGGGAGACTCTTCACACTTTTGTCCCTTTCGAATTTGTTATCACATATATGTAGATCTCACAGACATAAAAACCTGGGTCCCTGGGAAAGCTTTGGAAAGATAATTTTATTAGAAGGACTGGATTTCCTAAGTAAAATATTAGAGAGGAATGTGTTTCTGCTCTAATTACGGTACTACTTTTTGCTTTCTTAGTTGCTTGCTTGCCTTCAAGAGAGAAATGAAAAATAGGGCCCATTAACATGTAAAGAAACAAGCCTAAAGGAGCAGAAATTTATGGGGAAACTTTCAAAAATAAAAATGTCTAATATTCAACCTTAAGTGTTTTTATTGGTACAGTGTACATTTATTTCTCATTTCGTGTCTGTGGCAAAATCGGTTACAGATATGAAGACCTTATGCCTGTGGTCTGGAGGTGGAGGGGAGCTTCGAGTAAAAGGTTGGCATATACTCTTGGTGTCCAATTACCTCTTTGCGCTATATGGACTCATATGTGGACTCATATAAAATCTCCATATATATGACTCATATATATAATGTCCATATATGAGTCCATATAGCACACAGAGGCGATTGGACACCAAGAGTGTATGCTAACCTAACTTATTCAGCAAATGAGGTAATGTAATGCTTATCCTAATGCACCACACATAGTAGACACTCAGTGATTTACTAGCACTAGTCACAGAAATAAATAATGATTGCTACTTATAATCTGACACCATTCTCCAGGTGTAGAGTTGCTAACTAGAGGGCACGTTTCAAGGAATTAGGAACTAAATTACTCTGTACATGAATGAAGGAGGGGATTTAGAACCAGCCAGGCTGGTTTTTGTTTGGATGAGGGCAAGGAAGAACTCTGCTTTAAGGCACAAGGGAGAGGAGACGATTTGACTGAGCAATATTATTCCCAAGGGCAACTTTACATAGGACAAATAATCAAAATAAATACATCTTAAATATTTACTTTATGTATAGTTTAATAATTGACTATAATTAAAATAATTTGAAAATGAATTAATTACAAATTTTTATCCTTAGAATTGTGAAATTTATGTTTTATATTTTGATTAGCAAAGTGTATTTGGCATATTTGGGGAAAGTTTCATCTATTGAATTATGAAAGAGTCACATCTTTTTTTTAAAAATTTTTTATTATTATTATACTTTAAGTTCTAGGGTACATGTGCATAACGTGCAGGTTTGTTACATATGTATACTTGTGCCATG